AACATAACAGAGTTATTTTATCCTTAACATGTTTCATATGCAATATAAAGTCGTTGCTTTAGGATAAAGAAGACGCTTGGCACGGCCTGATGCTAAAACGGCAAATATGTATTGTGAACGATTTACTTGACCTTCTTCTTGTTTATGATTTTTTTATCTGCTACTATGTATTTGATGTGAAAACGGTTTAGTAGGGGCCTTTAACGGTATTCAGTCGCTACGACAATTGAAGCGATAAGCTTGATGGAAAAGTGTATGACATTACTAATATATGGTGCTAAATGTGCGTAATACAGGTGTAAAATTGATAAGACTAATGAACAGTGAGGGCAAACGTGTTTTATCATTTTATTTCCTAAATACGTCGTTCAATTAGATAAAGCAGAGGCCTAAGTGGCTAAAAACAGTAAAGAAATGGATATTGAATTGCTTAAACCCTCTTTTATACATTTTTCTAAAAGAATAAATTGATTCTAAGGAATCGCTTTCAACCATTTTCATTGTTTATGGCAATTAGTGAATTTAATTAGTGGAACATTATATATCTTAGTCGAGGATGTTTAGACATGATCAGTGTTTCGTATGTGACATGTTGAATATTAAGTTTATCAGAGAATATTGAAGAGGTCGAGCAGTAAGTTTTATTCAATGTCGGTGTAAAAATAGTTGTTTCTCTTTGTACAGGGAATTTTTTTGATCAAAGGTAATTATGCATTACTTTTTAAAAATGGTGCGAGATGAGCGTTTCCCGATAAAGTTTAATTAGCAGTAGGCCGACGGAGAGGTTTACTTAGTTCGATCTTTTAACCGCATATTTGTGGGCAGGTGAAGAAAGACGATTGCGGGATCGAGAAGTAAAGTTTGGTTGAATTTATGCCCTCAAGCAAGTTTATTTGAAATAATTCGCAACTTTTACTAAATTTTGCGAGCAAGCTTTGCTGTATATATAGGAGAATGGGCAGGTTTTGAAATGTCGTATCGGTTGTGTGGCGGGATAATTATCTCGCAAATGTGCACATCGACATGTATACAATTATGCGAGAAGGTGGTTGCACATTTAATATTTGCGGATTAAAATTCAAGTCGACTTAAAACTCGATTCAAATTTTTATATTGCATTTGTCGCCTGTTAGATGTGCGTTTGTGAAGGCCTGAAAGCCAT